AAAAAACATATTTATATTTGTTATACAAGATACTGCTTTTGTAGGTATCTATTTTGTTGTGATTTCCATAATTTACAAATAAGTATAAATGTAACTAGAAATCTTTTATTATTAACCCACGTAGCACATTTATTATAATACATTTTATTAATTTTATATTATTTTTATATAGGTATTATACTCTACTCTGCTACTACTCGTGATCACCCATCAGTCGAGAGCTACGCTTGATATTCGCACACTTCTCATATTTCTTCAATGATACTCGAACGTCAAAATTGTTTATTCTCTACATAAAAATATAGCTCATTTCAAGTTTCCATTTTTCAATCTAGTGTAGTTGGTGCAATGTGCAGAGTAGTTTAAAAATATTTTTTTAATTCAAAATCGCATTGTTTTTTATTTCTTATTTTTTTAGTAACATATGTTTTTGTATAAAATGTAAATTTAGATCCGTATTATATATCCATACTAATATCTTAAATGTGAAAGTGTGTTTGTTTGTTTCCTTCTTTCACGTCGAAACGGAGTGACGATTGGCGTGATTTTTTGTGTGAAGATAATTGGAGGGCTAGAGAGTGATATAGGCTACTTTTAATCGCGGAATATTATCTAATTCCCACGGAAAACACGTAATACAATCCAAAAAAATATTTATGATCAGAATTAGTAGAAAATTGGTATTAATGTTCTTCAATAAAATTAAATAAATACGAGTTTTAGCATTTTTCGAAATTCATCCTATAAGCAGGTAAAATAAAGGATGAACGTTTATATGAAACTGCCTTTTTGGAGATTTTTTGTAGTTTTAGCGCGAGCGAAGCCGCGGGTTCAACTAGTAATATTATAAATGTTAAAGATTTTAAGTATGTATGGATCTTTCAGGCCAGAACAGCTGAACAGATCTGGATTGAAATTTAGCACAGAGATAGATTATAGTCTGGAATAATCCATAGGCTACAAAAGTAGCCTAAAAATATCCCGGATAAATGTACGGTTCCCGTGGGATAGATTAGTTTTTGTTTTCCTAGAGGTGAACCCGAGCGAAACGAGGGTAAGCCCCAAACTTTTATTTACAATACATATAATTTTATATTCAATGAAATGAAATAAATATACTTATAAGATATAGGTGTTTTCTAGTAAGAAATACTAACACCATTTAAATATTTGTTCCTTAAAGTAGAGTTTGAGTAGTGTAAAGTGAAATTACTATATGAATTCGACGTGCTTTGTGACATTTGAGACGGCGGTCAGTATAAAGACATCGAGCGTGGCTTCGCCACTTGCATTAACCAGATCCTCACATAAACCGCTTAGTTCTAGCAGAGAGACGCGGCCAAGCCAACGTGCACTCTGCGCGCTATGATATAGACTTCAATTTAGGTGATCTCCTGTCAGGGTTTATAAAGTGGACACACGGACTAAGCCACTCAATTACCCAGCATCTTGTTGCTCGCACGGAATATGGTTTCCGTTACTTTTCACCTCGTACTTTTATAAGAAAAGAACCAAATTACCCAATCGTTATTGGCAAGTACCACTTCAGCCGAAGCACCTTTAAGTTAACTGTATTGACTGCTTCGGTGGTCTAGTGGCTAGCATGTACGGCCACAAATCCGGAAGTCCTGAGTTCGAGTCTCGGATCGGGCCAAGTTTACTTACTGAGTTTTTTTGTCAATAACAGCCCGGAGTTGGAAAGTTGGAGGTGTTTCACCCCCGTGCATGGAAGAGCATGAAGAGCCGTCGATCTTGCGTCTTAACTCTGACCGGTCGTGTCGAAATATCTTTTCACTGGAGTAAAATGCCGGAGTATAATATCTCCTGCGCATCTCAACTCATCTAATCAGTGTCAGTGAGACTGGCCGCCGCGCCGCCGTGACCAAAATCGGCGCGGAGGACATTATTAATCACATATAAATCAGTCATGTCAGAAAAAATCACTAGATTTTTTGATTAATTGAGTTTCGAGTTGGTATTTTGAAATTAAATTCCTTTAAATATAAAATATTTAATAAATATATTTATTAGTTTAATTAGAATAATAAATGTTTGTTTTTATTGTTATGTATTTAAATTTTAAAAGAAATGTCGGTGCCATCTCTAACTTTTCTCCAAATTATTACAATTGTGACGTCTCACACCTTTATCTCTGACAGTGATTGCTGTAAAAATTTCAGGAATCAAATTCAATAAAAAACATAAAAGTCAGTAAAATAGTTTATCATGATGTGAAATACTCCCGTAAACCTAAGAAAGTGTTACAACTCATCATTTATCTACGTTATAAGTATGTGTGTTGAAATTATGCTAATGTATCAAGTAAAAAAGTGCATTCAGTATGTTAAGGCTAAGCCCATACATACATCGTGATGCTCAAAACTTGATCTGAAGCTGTCACTGAGCGATGGCAGGCGAAAGAAACAAACATTTATCATTTAAGTATAGACTATTTATAGAACATATTTTAATATTATTTTAATTTTCCGCTAAATAAAATATTTTAATATTACGTTAGATGCCCATTAAATGATCCATTCAACATAATAAATAATTAAATACATCATTAAATTGTTTTTTTTTCGACAAACGATTTTACCTTTTGTTAATTACAGTGAATAAAAAAAAGTATTAATAGATAATTGGCTTTATCTATGCGCATGGTGGCGCGGGACGACGCGGGACAGCGCGGGGCGACAAGTTGACGCGGGGCTATTATTCGGGAGTTCCCGACCTTTACAGCTTTGGGAAATTAGGGTACACGTATCATAATGTTAATAATAAAATTAAGCGAAACTTCAAACTACATTTTACACAAGTGATGTCTATCTGTTCTCAACACCAATCTTGGGAAGAGCGGTTTTAATTATTATTTATAACACTGCTTTTATACGAAAAAAGTTTACGAAAATTTTATTTAATCTAATGCCATTACTTCAACACTAGTGCGTATTGAAATTTAAATTGTTAGACATAAAGAGCTGGACTTTAAACTTTAGATCATTTCTTTTTATTACATAATAAGTACTTCTAATCAAAGTTAATACAGACTTTGCTTTCACTATTTAATTGTTTTGTTTTTAATCTTTGATTAAAAAATTGTATCCATAAAATATAAAAACTAAACAGATTCGGTGTTTTATAAATGTTGGTATATTATATTTTCGTATCTATAATATCAACAAGTGAAAAAAAATATTATAATTTATCGTTGGAAAAGTTTACGATACTTAAATGAATACTATCATTTGATTTTGAACATAAATGAACGGATACAAAGGAGTTTTAATTTCAGAAGACTATTATAAATATTAGAATATCACAAGTTTTGGTGGTGGTTGTAAGTTGTCTCTATGTTCTTTTCTCAAATAAAATTAACTATTATTTATTATCAATATAAGCCCATTTCTACAATATTAACATCAACTCTACCGACCTTACATCGTAAAATTGATCTTCTTCAACGATGGTAAATTTTTAGACATTGTTTAAATTTTCTTATTCGAAAAAATAAATAGACCTAATTTTAAAGTATCGTTTTGTCCTTCCGATTACATAACTTAGAATTTAATGGTCTTTAAATAAACAGATTTGGATTTAGACATTACAAACATAGCAAAGGCGACTTACGAAAGACATAACAATAAGACTAGCGTTCTCTACTTCTTCTACTACTCAACCTTTAGGCCATAGGAAAGTCCACATACATATGTAACATATTAGGTGCGATAAGCGAAATACGATAATATGTATATAAAATCTTTTATGTAAATAATAGCTAGTCTAACTAAAATTATAAATGTGAAAATTTATATGGATGTTTGGATGTTTGTTACTCCATCACGCCAGAACGGGTGATGTCTTTATTTATTTAAATCGAGACAAAATTTGGCAAAGAGATATATTATAGTCTGAAATAGCACATAGGCTATAGGGATATACTTTAAATCCCGGAAAAACGTACGGTTCTCGTGGGATAGATTTGTTTTTGTTTTTCTAGAAGCAACCCCGAGCGAAGCGAGGTTGAGTCGCTGTCGCTGTTATTTTATATTTGCTAGTTTCCTATTTCCATTCATTATTAATAGCTTAAAGTTGCGATCAACAAATTTCTATAAATAAAAAAATGCATATGCAATAAATAATTGAAATTTAAGATTGTTGCGTTTTGCAAGAAAGTAATATCTCGAGCCAGGTGAGTTTACCAGGATAAAAGCATCCCATATGGTAATTATTAAGGACTTTAGACTACTCTACCAAGTTTCATATAAATCTGTTCAATGTGGCGTTAAGATGTTTTTGAGTAACAAGCATTACATTTATATTGTTAATAAATAGAGAAGGTTAGAATATTATTAATTTAGCTCGAGTAAAATGGAGAATGGTCTTCGGTTGTTTACAAACTTCTGCAAACCAGACTATCCTGCAATACATGCATACATAAGTACAATTGCATCTCGAACTCTTACGGCACATGTCTTGTCTATAATTATGCGAGCTCAGACAGTCTCAATCATGGTATAGCAATACATTTAATTGTAGTTTGACAGCAGAACGCATAGTGCCTCTTAAACGCCTCTAACCGGCAGAATAGTATTCTACATATTTAACCAGACAGTCGAAATTAAAGTGAACTGATAAACGGCAACACATCGAGTAGAATAGTATACATGAAAAAATCACATATACAAACTTTATATTAAGTTCATAAAGTAAACGAAAAAGCGTTCATAATTATTACACTCGCGAGCAGTTTAATTACAGAAATCAGCAGACAGAGCTTGTTGACCTTTTGATTGAAAATATAATATCTAATGTTCCAAAAAGTCTTAAGCGATAACATAATAATTTACGAGGCATAAATAAAAAAATAATATTTTTAAATTATACAAGTACACAAAGTACTAATTAATATAATATAAATGTGAACAATCCTCACCTTATCAGACAGGATAATCTCCAAGACCATTGCCAGTTCACTGAACATTAAAACTATCACTTCACTCAACTCTAAATTTCACTAAAACTAAAACTTTTTCTAACGCACAGTACTGAACTTTCGAAACCTTCGTCGAACTTATCAAGCGAGATATCGGAAAAGTTTGTCGGTGCCGAGCCTTCGTGGTATAGGGTTGCGTCACGGCGCGAGGGCGGGCGGTCGACTGCCGGAGTGGCGGCCCGGCCGGCGCGGGGCGGGAGGGCGCGCGCGCGGGGAGGAGGGGGGCGAGGGATGGAGGGCTCAAACCCGGAGAACACTCTTCTGGGAAATTTTGACGAATGACATTCCGTAATGTGGGAGCACGAGGCGCTGCACTGGCGCACTCCGCTAATTGCGCTTTTAATGAATGCGTCGCGGCCTGACGCCGATCGGCTCCCAGCGGGTCGAGTCGGCGTTGTCGCGCTTCTTTAGCTATCTTGATGCATTAGTTTAGATTAAAAGTTAGGTATGTTTAGTACCAGATTGATCACTTTCATTGTGATCCTCGTATATTTTTACAAAGGAAAGTAGGGAAAGATTTATAGTTACAAGTATATTTGCTTAGATAAGTAATTCATCTGGTATTGTTATTATTTCTTATCATTCATTAATTTACTTCTTCGCACGCTTATTTTATCGTGAACTCTGTTAAATATGGAGCATCGTAGTCTGGTGAGGTATTAGCTCTAATTCTATTTTTGTCAATTAAATAAATTAATTATCACTAACTACTGAGTATATAATAGACATTGTAATAAATAATAAACACATAGAAATTAATTCGACAGCGCAACTCACAAAAGTATTAAATGTAAACAGATAAACATAGAGACTACATAATTTTATAGAAATTGTCGTTTTCATTGCTCTACGAGTCTACATACACCAATATAAAATATAAAAAAGTTTCTTATAATAAACTTAAGTAGTTAAACTTTATTAATATAACATTTAAGTATGTTACTTGGAATATCGTTAATTGTAAATTATAAAATACAGACGAAGAAATTAAACAAAAATGAAAGCCCGCAGTGGGAAACGTTACCGCCATCCTCATACATTATAATTAGTGATATAATCAGTATGAAATCACTTTATTGTTCGGGCAAATAAGCAATTAAAATTAATAATTGTCAGTAACGATCCAATTCAAGCAAATTAATCGCGCCATAAACTTAATGCACAGAGGAATTTGCGTGCAAGCGTGCAAGATATCGATTGGGCTCGCCTCGAACGATTCAATGAGTTGCTACGGATTTGGCGGATCATTCGTCGAGCCCTTCGAAGGTGGCCGATGTGATAGAAGAAATGAATGGGAGAGTGGTCCCTACTGCCCATAGGAATAAGGTCGCAGACCCCGCGCCCGTGCGCGTGCGGCCGGCGAAGCGTACGCGCGATTTATTGCGCCGCGCATAATTGACACATCATGCGCCCTCGTCTACTTCCCGCCTGCCCCTTGCACTGCGCACATTCGTTCTCTTGTCGCTTGACTTGCTTTTTAAATTGACATTGTAACGCACAGCTGACGAGAATTCATTGAAGCTTACGATTGAAACAACTTCATCTACAGCTGTATAAAGCTCAAACATTAAGCCTCATATCAAGGCGTTTCAACGTGAAGGAACATCAAACATACGGACACACACATACACAGATCCTCCTCCCCTACTAACGCCATCTCAAGGACATTATACAATTCTTAAGCAATCGATATATACCATAATGATTTATGTTAAATTAATAAAATTATTGTTTGCGTTTATTAAACGAGCAAAATGAAATATATTATATAATACATCGATGTAGTTATTGGTCTTCCACTAGTGACGTCACTGGGAAAGCGATGTATAGATACTGAACGTGAAGGAGCAACAAATAAACAACTCTGGTGGGACGAACATTCGACGCGACCAGTAAGAGTTAAGGCGCATTACCGACGGCTTTTACGTGCTCTCCGAGACACGGAGGTGAAACACCGCCAACTTCCCAACTCCGGGCTGTTATTGAGGCTATACAGAAAGACTCAATAACTAAACTTGGCCCGACCCGGGACTCGAACCCAGGACCTCCGGGTGTGCAGCCGTACATGGTAGCCACTACATCGACGAGGCAGTTAATAAAAAAAAGGAAAAAGGCGATAATAATAAAGTACTCGAGAAGCGTGAGTATTATCTATCTACGATCTATCACAATTGATTTTTCTCTCTTATCAATTTAGATATTTTCTTTTTTTGTATTCACATGTCACTCTACAAAGTTTATCTAAACATTATCAGTTCATACTATTAAATAAATGATTGAAGAAATGAGTGAATAACGTTTACAGAAATAATATAAATACTCTCTTTATTAAGTACAAACGTCTTTGTCACAAACTACTGGAGAAATTCTACGCGAGTGAAACATCACTCGTATTAGTACGAGTATTTTTATAATATGTATATATTTCTAACAAGAAATACATACATATTATAAAAATACTCGTATAATATAAACTAAGTTAACAAATGCACGTGTATAACTTAGAACGGTTTTATAAGAAAATATTTTTTTAATATTTATACCTTAACTAGCGGCTCACCCTCGCTTCGCTCGGGTTCGCCTCTAGAAAGACACTAATCGAGATCTATTAGTTCTCACGGGAACCATTCATTTTTCCGGGATGAAAAGTAACCTGTTGTTAAATCGGCAATATAAAGTATGAGAATGTTAAATTTTACTAAATTAGGTGCATTAGTTGTTGTGTACTAAGCTGTATAAGTTACTATAGTTTTTTGACTATCCCACGGGAACTCTTTAATTTTCCGGAATGAAAAGTATCTTACATGTCGACCGGGGATATACGGTACGATCATGCAAAATTTCATTTAAATCGGTCCAATAGTTTTGGAGATTAGCCCATATAAACAGACAGAGAACCAAAAAAATTGAAAAAGTCTAGATTTGTGCTATTTTTCTTCTTACGGGATATAAGAAGATAACTGACTCGGTTTTTAGCATTTTTTTCTATGTACAGACATTCGACCTCTACAGTTTTATTATATTTATAGATAGAATAAATAACGTATAATAAAACAATTATATATATTAATGAAAATAGTTATAGCGAGTGTACCTTAGGAGATAGACATGTACTATTGACAACTTTTTTATCAACCTTTTTAAGACTTACATTTTTCTTGTACAATGTTTTGATCTATCTCTTAAGGTTGAGCCAGCGTTAGCCACATAAATTTCTAAGGACAATTCGACAGAACCAGTTATTGTGTTTTCCCGTAGGAAGGAATAATTTGCCTGTCGTAAAAGGTATCCTAAATGTTGACCGAGTACTAAGTTATCACTAAACAAAATTTAGTTAAAATTTTCAGGTTCAGTACTTTTGCGTGAAACGCGCACATCGATTTGACTAAATTAGTTTTATTATAGATAAGACATAGATATTGCTTAGGAGATATACATATACTATTCAGAACTTTCCTGTAGGATTTTTCAAGACCTACAATTATTTAGTATATTGTTTTTATGTATGTATGTCTTAAGGTTTAGCCAGCGGAAGGTTTCTAGGGAGGACTCGATAAAACTAGTCATTTTATCTTCCCGTGAGAAAGAAAGATTTTCTGGAAGTAAAAGGTATCCTAAACGTTGACTCGAGTAATAAGTTATCACTTCACCAAACTTCATTGAAATCGGTTCATTACTTTTCGCGTGAAACGCGCGTACAATAAAAACTTTTTAACAAAAAAATAAAAACCGACTTCGTAAATATTTGATTAGGTATGTATAGTAAATGAAAACTACCAATCAGTTATTTTTTTACTTTTTAGTGCTTTTGTTTGAAGTCGGTTTTTATTTTTTTGTTAAAAAGTTTTTATTTTTACCTTTTTAGTGTAGACAGTAGTAGCAAGGTAAGAATTCTAACGTGTTAGGCTTGTCAAATCAAACAAAATAAGCCCAAACTCAAAGTATCTACTATTAGCCGTTGAAGAGTTCCACCTATCCACCTTCTGGCCTTACCATCAGATCAGGTCAACAATACCGAACCACTGTACTATCAACGGAAATAGAAACACTTGCAAAGTTTCAAGTCAATATGACAATTAGAAGTAGGTTAAATCCATCATTAGCTATTTTTCCACCCTTAGGGGTGGTATTTTTTTTTTAATTTAAATGGGACCAATCTGGAAGTATACACTTCCAAACAACACAAAAATTGTCCAAATCGGTTAATAAATGACGGAACTCTGAGGTAACAAACATTAGAAAAAATACAGTCGAAAGGAGAACCTCCTCCTTTTTGAAGTCGGTTGAAAACAGACAAACAGATATACAGGCAAACAGACAAACAGACAATTTTTTAATAACTATTGTTTTGGGGGCTATGTTGTGTACATAATACGTTAAAAATAAACGAAAACATCTCTCCCACGGGAAGCGTACATTTTTCCGGGATAAAAACTAACCTATTTGTTATTCTGATGTATGACCTATATTATTGTAAAGTTTCATCAAAATCCAATTAGTAGTTTTTGTGTACTAAGCAGTATAAGTTACTATACATTTTTAACTATCCCACGGGAACTATTTAATTTTCCGTGATAAAAAGTATCTAAGATGTTGCCCGGGGATATAAGATACCACCACGCAAAATTTCATTTAAATCGGTCCAATAGATTCGGAGATTAGCCCGTACAAACAGACAAACAGACAGAGAAATAAAAAAATTGAAAAAAAACTGGATTTGTTCTATTTGTCTTCTTACATCCCCCTGACTTGGTTTTTAGTATTTTTTTGCTATGTACAAACATTAGACCTCTACTGTTTTATTATAGTGTAGAAGACAAGAGAGATAATTATGGAAATCATTAAGACCACTAAAATTAATCTAGAGGCCTGATGCATTGCATGGGACTACGATGTTGAGAGAGTTGGGCATAAAAACTACGTTTAATGTTCCACTGTCGTTAAACGGTCCATCCAGTAAAGTGAAGGGATTATTTGGGGTTATTATGAACTTAAATATAAATCACCCCAATACCAACGATACTATACTAATCCGTGGATGGTATTATGTGCTCATTAAACTCGATGTATTTAAAACATTACAATTAATATTCATAGTTTCGAAAGTAGAACTAAATATAAAATGAATACTGAAACATTACTGCGCGTCGACAGCGTGATTAATTGAATGACCAACCATTCTTAATTCTTAAGTATTTCTTACCCTCTTCACTTTGATCTTTGAAGATATCGTATGGCTCTTCACCGTGTGTAATGTTAGATACTTAGTACCTATTGATAAGATAAACTTCACGTTCCTACCGAACAGATAAATCGACTATTTCTGAATTTTGAAACATGTTAGCCCATGTAACCGGAGGTAGTTATGGGTTCGAAATGTTTATATTGTCTGGGTGTACATTTATATTTTTTATATATTTTCACGCACTTTCCAGATTTTGTCAAGTATTATAAATATCGTCTTTCTGGATAGATGGGAAGACAAAGAGAGAAAATATGTTCTTGAAATTTGAGTTTAAGTGCCGGGAGCCCGTTTATTTCAAAATATATTACCGATATAAAAATTCTCACTGAACACCAACTTATAAATATTACACGAATAAAAAAAACGATAAATCCCGAAACGCTGTAAGAACAAATGCAATATTTAAGTTAAAATTAGCTCTAATAAAGCGGCGCGAGTGTTGAGTAGACACCGACAATATGTATGTACGTTTCATAAAGAGAAGAGCTCGGAATTAACGGTTTCATCCATAAAAAAGATCTTACTATAATCATCCATAATATAACTATAATATAACATATAATAAAACTTATATTAATTAAAACTTATTTCACAATAACATTTGTAAATCCTTGGCGATTTATGAGAATGTACGAGTAGTTCTATGAAATCAAAATAATCACAACTAGTATTTGACTGAAAGACATTCGGTTTTTGATCTATCAGTAGTACTACGGGAACTGTAATTTATAGAAAAAAACGACTCTTTACCATCCTTCACGCTTATCTTGAAATTCGTACTTAAACTTATACATTCTCTATTGATCATTCTTACCACTATTTCCTGGTAACAAAATATATGTAAATAGCCAAGGTATGTTATTTATACATATTAGATATGTGAATATTAAAATTATTTTATTATATTTGTGTGATATTTTAATGACCTTTCAAATGCATTTACATATAATAGAGAGAATGAAGCGTTAAAAATGATAATTGAAAATAAAAATGAAAATAAAAAAAGCGTTAGAAATAATATAATTTAGCTAACAGTGGTTTCTAATCTTTTGCGCATAGAAATAGCTAGGTATATTGTTGGCTCCCTACGTAGTTTCCGCGATTAGCTCCACATGCAAAGCTGATGCAAAGATTTAACTCCGAATAAGATACATTTGGAAGCTGCCACAGGTCGTAATGGACTTGATATCGTACATTTCATCACACATAAAATCGCGAGTGCTGCAGACAGGCCGTCAACTCGGCGACCGTATATAGTTGTAAAGCAATGATACAGTCGAGTGCGGAACATTAATCTGCGTCAACGGGACAATGCCTGTCAATGAGCGCCACTCCTACGCCAGCGTCCCCGCACCCCGCGCCCCGCGCGCGCCCCGCGCCCCTGCACGTGATCCCTGGCGGTGCGTCCTACTTATAGCGACCGATACCTTGATTGATGGTGGCTCAGCAAACTTGAGTGGACACTTTTAAATTCTGCTACTTTTGGTTTTCTGGAGATATGGTGCTTTGAAATAGATAATAACACACATGTTCAATACATCCTATCATTTATTACAAGTTTTGTTATTCATTTTGGAATAGAATTAATTAACATTAGGATTTATGGTTCGATGCGACAAGCGTGCATGCCAGGCCCGATACACGCAGCGTAAGCCATTAAATGCGGCAATTGGTTCTGCTCGTACAGTCCTGTAAACATTTCATTTTGTGGACCCCAAGCGAATACCGCTACGTCGTCACCGCCATGTGTCTCTGACTCCAAAGGCACCTCAGAATGTGATCGCCATTGTAACGTACCTGTACATAGTGTAACGTTAATTAATTAAAGTAGAAAATAAAACATTTTCTAAATATCTCAGATTTACATAACATAAACTTACGATAATCTGCATCATTCGTGACATCGACTCGACCGTTTACCTGATGTGGCCGATGACCGGGGCCATTAGCGTATGACAGCGTCATGTACGGAATGTCATCGTCACCCTGATCATCCGAGGGCCCTAGAATATCTCCACCGCGATGAGTGTAGCCATTAAATGACATGACATGTGCGTGGTCGGACGTGACGACGATCAGAGAGTCGTCTTGTGACAGTAAACTGGCGGCGCGTGTTACTGCTTCACTCATTTCAATAGTTTCGTCGAGAGCTAGTTCTACATAGTTTTCATGATGAGCGTGATCAATTCGCCCGCCTTCCACGAATAAGAAAAATCCTTTGTCATTTCTACTTAAAGAACGTATCGCAACCTCGGTCAGCTCTGCGAGTGTAGGTTCTGTGCTAGTATTTGCTTCCAAATGGTACTGCATATGACTTCCTTCGAACAATCCCAACAAATAATCAGGTAAGTCTTCACTTGCACTAAGTAATTGATCCCGATTCCAAACATACCGATAACTCACGTTACGTTCGATTTTGTCCATCTGCCACTCCTCAATTAAGTTTCTGCCATCCAATCTTTTACCCGGTGTGCCCTCTTCATCTATTTTATCTTGTGGTAAAAACTCACGTCTTCCGCCACCCAATATCACCTGGAAGGGGAATAACATTTTCTACTTAATATAACGTAACTAGACTAAATGTAATATATGTATATAAAACTAGCTTTTTCATTTAGATTTGACGTTATATTTTTCAAACCATGGCACGATTAAGATCGAAGTTTAGTATTAAAAGAGTACCTACTCACCTTGAACTGATTCCCCGGGTGTGTGTGCACGAGCTGGTCGGCGATGTCCCGGCACAGGCGCGGGTCGTGCCCGTCGCCGCGCACGTCCGCGTCACTCTCCCAGTCCCTGTTGGCGGTGCGCGCGTACGCTCCCGACGGCGACGCGTGCGTCACCCGCGTCGTCGTCACGATCCCTACACACGTTCACTCTACTTAATAAATTGACTTATATTTAATCAAAACTTATCCCAATTAATACATCGTAGTGAATATGTAGTAAGTTTAACTTGCATCAATTGCGCTACACAAAAGGTTCTACTACGCCAATACTGCGTACCTAAGAGTACTTTATATTATCAAATGAGTACCAAGAGCGTAACTAAAAGTATGTATCGAGCAATACCGGCGTCACGGCCGTCGGCCAGCGCCCAGGCCGCGATGGAGCTGAGGTGCGTCGAGGTGTCGGCGGACGCGAGGCAGTCCCGCCGCGGCACGCGCGCCGTCACGCCGACCGTGCCGCGATTCGCCTTCACACCGCACAAGTATGCGGTCGCAGTACACGCCGAGTCCGCAATTTGGGAGTCCACGCAATACGTCTATTCAAAGGCCAACATATTCATTTAAGCAATGCTGTCAAGCGCGGATCCATTCCTCAAAAAAGTGCCCACCACAAAATGGTTAAGTGCGTATCGAAGTTGCGACTCATGATAAATACCTATATTATGTACATATTTCATTTCTAAAAAGGTATTTTACTCCGTGTTGAATTAGAAACAATCTCTTCGCGGTATCTCTGCTAAACTACGTCTTTGTAAGGCATTGGATATAACATTATAAGTCTATCGAACTCAATTAGGGTTGTGGGCATGCCCACCTATAACGTTGGATCCGCGCTGGAATGCTGTATAGATACTTCTTTAGTGTATTATAATAACATTTTATGAAAATAATGTAATTTATATTATAAACATATCAATGGATTAACCTTAGAAAGTCCTACGGAGGGGAAAGCTTCGAAAGATAGTTGCGATTCCTCTCCTGTACGTCCGTTTCGTTGACCCATGAGAGTGCGTGCCGCGGCTAGCGTCGGCACGGACATGCCGTCGCCGAGGAACATCACCACGTTCCGAGCTGTTCCAGAAGCTTTAGTGTACTTTAAGCGAGCTTCAATCGCTTTCTGTGCCTCGTCTTCCCAAAACCTAGAAGTTGCTTCAATTTGGTGTCTGGGAGAAATTAACTTGCGCATATTGTGTACACTTCTATGATATTCATCACTTTCTGGAAACAATGAAATTTCTTTACTATTTTCGGTAATAATCACATGATCATATGCCATGTACTTACGTGTTAGTTGCAATATCCCATACTAACATTTAAAACTAGGTACCTACACCCGGGTGAACACGAGCGAAGCAAGGATTAGCCGTTAGTGTAAGATAAATTTATATATGATTATATTAAAAAAACTGGGATGCTTGAAATATAACATTATATATTTTTTTCAAATTTTATAATTCAAGGCATAGCTAGATACTGGCTAGTAAAGAAAGTAATAACAATACATACCTAAGGATTGATGTATGTATCCTAGAAGAAATAATAAGGGCAAAACCCAACCTAAGCTTTTTTGTAACATTTCACAGTAGTTGTTACTGCACTGGTGCAACCTTCTTTACTATAAATATGGAAGATCTAAGTCTTCCGTGTCTTCAACTGTCGAGCGATATGTCATTTCAATATATTAGCATTGATAAGATAATAGGTACAATAGAGATATTTATAAAGATTATAACTCGTATCACTAAATAATATTTAGAAATGTTAAAAAGATATACTAAAACCTTCTCCGGAACACGTTGCATCTTATGGTATGAGTATTATTCCGATCGGTTCAGTAGTTATCGCAGTATTACCAAACAAAAAAATCGGCTCTCCATTTATTAGTATAGATTTTAATACTAATTAATAAAATGGCTGTCTTAGACCATGATTCAATATAAGTCATGCAATATAACATTTTTATCTACTTTTTTCAATAGCCTATCTGCCTTAGCTTCTTAGTGTCTTAGAACTAAAATTATGCCTACGAACGAGCCTACTAGGCCAGAAAACTGCCAGGATGTGAACACAACCACTCATCAAAGTGTTTGAGTTTGTTTTATTTGTGTTAATTTGATTGTGTTACCTCACCCTCGACCTCACTGATTGTCTATCTGTTTTTATGTATCTATGTTGAATTATATTTGTTTTGTCTTTGTTAAATTGTCGGTGCAAACCGACAATATTTTAAGATATAAAAAAAATATTAGATTTGGTTTGCATCGGCTGGCACCGACTTCGAAAATATCTTATTTGGTATCTATTCTAAATGAAAACTCCCGTTTAGTTATTTTTTTACATTGTAGTGCCTGGAAGTCGGTTTTAATACATATATATTTCAAAGATTTTTCTCCGGCAATTCTCATTACAGACATAAAATCTTCGTCGGTGTAAAGACAGCAATTAGTTTTAAGAGCACACTCCACATCTCCGAATTAGGCAGATAGCTTCAGGCTGCAAAATACGAAGAGTTAAGAAGAGAACTTTTTCCAAACTGGAATGATTTTGGAAGATCCGAGTTTCGTAACACCCGGCGCTCCAAAATATATCGAATTCAGCTTTTCTTTCCTCTACAGATAAAACTTCGGTACATCTTTTAGGACATCCACATGAATAATCTCCCAAAAATGGTCTACTATTTACTAATTTTCCTTTAGCACTCACGTAATCTTGGTTTGTATTAGCTCGTCTTTTTCTTATATTATCTCTGTTTTAATCTGCATTTTTTCTTTTACGTCCCCTGCTTGGTCTTTTACTGATTGTAGCTGTGGCTGCCACATCATCATTGTCTTCTACTGGGATAAAATCAGGATCTTCTAAGTTTTAGCTCGTATTTGTAGCGTCTACCACGTTTGATAGCTGTTGTTCAACTTCATCAATTATTAATTTTGCAACGGCTCCTATTTCATAGTCTGTATTGTTATTCGCATCTCGATCATACTCTGTTGTTTATAAAATTGTACATGAATTGTTTACATTACTATCGCAAGACTTGATTTCTTTCATCGCTACTTCCTCAAAAAGAAACAGTCTGCTGTTATTAGCCTCAACTTGATCAACCGACTCCAATTCCTGTAATGGGGAGTCAATACCACAATCTACTACAGACTGAAATAAAATATAATTGTAATTGAAATAAAAATGTCAACAAAAATCAAATAAATAATATAGAAATATAAATCCGTTATCGAGTAAAACAAAAGCTTTTAGTCTTCTTTAAAATAAAATTTAACATAATACACCTACACATTTTTAATGTTGTGTTATGTTCCTTAAATCCTCATATTAGGCACTTACATTCGTTGAACATAAATTTGCAATAATGATTTGTTTAGGTTGATACCATACACCTCAGGTCTTGAGAACCGCCCCCCCAACGTGCGTTCACCTTGTCGTGGTGGGGGGGCTCAGTAGTAGTAGCGAAGCTAAGAAACGCACAGGGAGGTTGCCCACTTCGGTGGGCGGTGGGAGGTGGCCCTCTTCGGGGGGCGGTGTACCATGCGGGTTGCTCCTGGTACTTCTCTGATATAGCAGAGTGGACTGTGGAGCAACCCCATGGTTGTGGTGGTCTGCTTCGGCAGACCTACCGTCGGGGCGTCGTAGTTGAATGCGTAAGCGATCCTGCGACGCCCCATTAAGACGGGGGAAGGTTTTGTTGGGTTTTAGTGGGTAGTACTGGCTGTATTACGCCGGTGAGTCCCACACGTCGTGCGTAAATGCATTTCCCAACGTTAAAAAAAAAAAAAAAAAAAAAAAAAAAAGGTCTTGAGAACCGACTCAACATTTTGCAATACCCAGTTAACTAACTTTTGACCAAAAACGACCAAAAATAATAAACAAAATGGGTAATTAATATTTAAAATCTATAAAACACAGCTAATTCTATCTAAATACATAACATTTATTGCAAATTAACTACTTATTTTTGTTTTTTTAAGCAACAGACTGTTGTAAAAAATTAAACTTAATACGAAAATCATTTAAATTATTAATAAAACACTCACCTTGCATTAAAAAATCACTGTTTTGTGGCACTAGTTTTTTTTTAAATATCACTCAAAAAACTATTTAAATATAAATAAAATATGAAAATTAATAACCGTCGCAATCAAACTTCAAACGAACACTTCAACTGACTTGAACATGTTAAGTTTCATGAACTTTAATAACGAAATAAGAAATGGCGCTATGTGTTTGCAAATATAAATCAAGGAACTTGAATTATTCTTGTAAAATGATTAAAAGAACATTGTGGTTTAACATTTTTAAAACGTATGATTTTTGATAAGAAATATGGGTTATTTGATTTAAAACGTTATTGCAAATCATTCTTAGATCAAAATGAGAATGGATTTTAAAAAAATAAATAATATTCTTATTTTTGTGGGTTAACATGTTATTGCATATTAGCATCCAGTTATTGTATTTTTCCGTGGGAATGAAATTTTTTCCTGTAGTAAAAGGTATTTTTTTAACGTTTGGAAATGCATTTAAGCACGAGGTGTGGGTCTCACCAGCGTAATAAAGCCAGTACTACCCACTAAAACTCAACAAAACACAACAAGGTCTGCCGAAGCAGATCACCACAACCATGGGGTTGATCCAAGGTCCACTCTGCTACCCCCCCAACGTGCGTTCACCTTGTCGTGGTGGGGGGGCTCAGTAGTGCCCGGCAATCCAACCGGGCGCGAAGCTAAGAAACGCACAGGGAGGTTGCCCACTTCGTTGGGCGGTGGGAGGTGGCCCTCTTCGGGGGGCGGTGTGCCATGCGGGTTGCTCCTGGTACTTCTCTGATAGCAGAGTGGACTGTGGAGCAACCCCATGGTTGTGGTTGTCTGCTTCGGAAGACCTGCCGTCGGGGCGTCGTAGTTGAATGCGTAAGCGATCCTGCGACGCCCCATTAAGACGGGGGAAGGTTTTGTTGGGTTTTAGTGGGTAGTACTGGCTGTATTACGCCGGTGAGTCCCACACGTCGTGCGTAAATGCATTTCCCAACGTTAAAAAAAAAAAGGTCCACTCTGCTATCAGAGAAGTACCAGGAGCAACCCACATGGTACACCGCCCATCGAAGAGGGCCACCTCCCACTGCCCACCGAAGTGGGCCACCTCCCTGTGCGTTTCTTGGCTTCGCGCCCGGTTGGAATGCTGGGCACTACTGAGCCCCCCCACCACGACAAAGTGAACGCACGTTGGGGGGGAGGGGGAAGGGGGTAGTAAAAGGTATCCTAAATATTGGCCCAAGTTATCACTTCACACAATTTAGTTAAAATCGGTTTATTACTTTTTGCGTAAGAACGCGCACGCACAAACAGACAAAAAATTTTACAACTATCGTTTTGTGGTCGATATTGTGTATATAATACGTTACAGTCATTGTTTTAAAAAAAAAATAATGTGCAGATCTCGTTAAGTTACTATTTTATTATACATAATATTATATATAAGATTACAAGGAAAGTGCATTAGAATTACATGGAAATGCCCAACGCCATCTTTTGACGACTTTGTTTAACAAGTATCGCGACGCCGTTATTACGAATTCGTTATTATCTAGTCGACGATAATTATTTTTCTGATGTTCCACACAAAAAATCAAAATGAAATATGTATAAATTATTAAAGGTCATTAGATAATTATATTAGTTACATTACATAAGTTATATTAATTACTATAAGTAATAATTAAATGTTAATGTTCCATTATTATATTTCTGTTTTATCTATATTTTATATATTTTTCTAAATACAGTAAACAGTATATTGCTATTTATTAAAACCTAAAATTTTTATTGCAAATGTTCATTTGCAACATGTATGCACCCTTCTTAATTAAAAATAATCAATACATAAACATATTTTATTACATTAGATTTAAAAATGTAGACGCAAAATAATATAAAATTCTATATTTTTTATAGGATATGGCTATTTTTATTATTATAATGAATAGACCAAATACAATGTCAAAAATAGATAAATAATTATTATAAACAGTCTTCTCTACGACGAATGCCGGGGAAGTACTTGTACTACTTCATGTACACGTTTTTTTTTATTCAATTAGACTTATTACAAGTACTTTTGAATCGTCAATTTAATGAAAGCGTCAGTGTAGTCAGTCCGTGAGGAAGCTACCACCGGCTCGGAAAGCTGTTCTGCTGAGAAAAACCGGCGAGAAACTCAACAGTTGCTCTTTTAAATATAGAGGTTACATTTATTTTATTAACATACTGTACTGCTCACATCTGGGCGGGAGCACCGGCGTACTAGCTTAGGCCTTTTGACTCGGTTCAAAGGAGAGCTGTGAGAATTGTCGACGATCCAATACTCACAAGCGATATAGAGCCCCTAAGTCTAAGAAAAGATTTTGCGTCCCTATGTGTGCTCTATCGCTTGTACAATGGGTTGTGTTCCGAAGAATTGTTCAAAATGATGCCCACGGCCACTCCCTCCTCCCTGCCGACTCCCTGCCGAGGTTTTCGCAGAGGGGGTACAGTATGGGGTCCTTCAAAAGGGGAGTAAATAGGTTTTTAAAGG